AGTTCTTTCTTTTTTCTTGTATAACCTGGTTGAAATGACAATATAATTTGTTCAACATTTCCAATAGCATTTTTTTTTTCTTTCCAGAATTTTTATTCCATGGAAAAGTACATTCTGACTCACAGTGAAAAGACATTCTTGAATATCAAATTTTCCCAAGAAATGTAAACTGCATTTTAATCAATAGCACTGGTAAAGAAATAAAAAAGGTTCACACTGAATAGCTTAAATGAATGTCAGATACTGACAACGTAAGCAAAAGCACTTAACAGTCAAGTTTTTAGAAAAATAACCTTTTCAAATAAGAGATATCTTGCCGAATAAGACAATCTGGGTTTGCAATCTTTTGTTTAAATGCAAAAGCAATGCACTCTCTAGATCCCTGCTAATAACAACATCTAACTGTGAATCATGTGCAACGCGTTTCAAGATAGAGCTTCTGTCACTGAGCTCTAGTGATTTATTTCTGCAGTTGCTACAGAGATCTAAGCTCAAAACCCAGAAGCAGCAAAATGCGATAGATCAGAGCCACCCAAATAACACATTAATCCAAAATAGGGCAGGGTGATAAAAGACTCCTGTCCAGCCAGAATCTGGGAACAGATAGTTCAGAAGCTGTGAATGTCCACAGCTTCTTCTGCACCTTAGGAAAACGAACAGAAAGATTATAAAAGCTTTGCTTGATGAGGGGAACAGAAGTGCAGTGATGAGGAATATAATTTCCAGGAACTACATGGTCCCGACTCTGCCTTTTAGCATGTTCATGTCCAAGACGAAAGAACTGACATCCACCAGCTCTGACTGGATTATAGTCTTCGCCCTTCTTGACAAACGAGTGCCTAACCAAAACGTGGGGGTGCAAGGGAAGCTGGGAACAGCAGGCAATAGCAAGAAGAACTGGCAAGGCGACTCTTGCAAGGACTGATGCTTATCTGTATCACAGCACTAGATGGGCAGTTAAGTTACACCACTGCACTGCACATTTTATTGAAATGGGAAAGAACCCATACATCAGGTACCACTTGGAGCATTAACTGAAAATTACAAAGAGAAAGAAAATGAAGTCAGCATCCACCCCAAAAAGCTCAATAAACCCACCAGAATTCAGTACATTACAGATAGACACAGAGAAAGACCTCAACAAACAAGGTGCAATTAACCTTCCCAAGAATGATAGTACCATTTACTTTCAATTTAGCATTTCCAAGGTGAATGGATGGTTTGCAGGGCTCTCCACAGGATATGCAGATTTCCCTTCACATGGCACTTGCTCTCAGCAACAACTGTGCATGAGCTATTACCATCCAGTCACACTTTGGTCAGCCACACTCAAGTGAAAAAGCATGTTTTCACACACACAAAAAGCCAGCAGCACTTTTTAAGGTGAGACCTCCTTAGTTGCAGCTGCAGACAGGCTAGGAATTAATGGCCCCTCTCTTACACCCTCGAAAGCACTCTGCCCTTAAGGATCAGCAACTGTACCATCAGCTAGCCAAGTCCTTACACAAGCTGGAAATACAAAACCCTTGGGAGTGCAGTATAGTTTAAAGAAATAGGGTTTGAGAAGTACTTTAAGAGCCACCAATAGAAGATGCTTGAAGCATCAACTGCAAAAGTACATTAACATAACTACTGCTACAATTTGAAAGTCTCCTGTCATTGCTGAAATATGTACTGCAACTCTTAATCGCAAATTTCCCCAACTCATTATGTTTCTCCTGGTTCCTGGATTTCTATACTTAAGCTCAGAAATTAATGCAAGCAATTTGAATGCAGACAATACAGGAAAGTGTTGTGGGCTTTTTACAGTCGTTGACTCACGCTTCTGCCTGTGCTCCCTGCCCTGCTCAAGTAACAATTTAAGCAAAGAATTCCCTGTTTTAAAATGGGTCAGCAATATAAAGGTTTTTCTTACCTCTCAGTCTAAAAAGAAGTTATCTAAAGTCACCAGTTGGAATCAAGACTTACCTCACAGATCATCTTCTGAGCAAAGATAAGAAGAAAAAAAATTCCTTTTTAATCCAAAACTCCATATTTTTCAGTAGACATCAATATCCAGCCCTCACAAGTTCTGCCACTGAAAATAACATCCAAGAACAACTTTTATACTTGATCCCCTTTCCTTTGTTTCCTATGAACTGCAGCATGTTAGCGCCCTCTGAAAAATCAAAGAATTGCTTTCCCAGGTGATATGAAAGGCTCTTAACCATTTCCTGCCTGTGCCAGCAAGACTCCTCCCAACTTCCCTCCACTGTAATTCAAGCAATAAGGCACTAAAATAAGAGAAGCCCACGAATCTTGACTTGGATATCTGTAAGAACTGATAATCATCTTCCAAATAACTCCTCTGATAGTATTTGATCAAACTGTTTCAACAGTGTCTCCAGCCATACAAAGAACAGCCTGTTCTCACCATACCCAGCCACCTTAAAAGGGGAAGCTGCAGTGTTGTCCTACTAAGTAAATACAATTCCCTACCTGCCCTCTTCCTGTGGTGAGAGGGGATGGGACAATAATGCCTAAAGAGAACAAGCCTGAAAAGCAGGCATCAGCCAAAATACTTGCCAGCAGAAAAAGATAAATGAACACATTTAAATGAAAAAAGGGATGGCCTCAGCCTGAAGTCACAGGAAGAGAGACCACAAGCTCCATGAGCTGCCAGGAGCACACTACCTCAAAGGCAATTGCAGAGTTAAGGCTTTTTTTGCCATCATTCAGTTTGTAAGTTTTGTTTGGGGTTTTTTTTTTTAACCCTCCATTTTAGATATAGATTTACAGAAACTGAATTTCTACCAGGGTATGCATAAGCAAGGACAACAGGCCAGCTCTCACTTCATACATGTTACAATTATTTCAGATTTACATGGAAAAGCCTTCAAGATTTGGCTCATTTACATAACAGTAGGTGGAACAGTGCAGAGCTACTTCATGTGCAAACAGACCTCAGTGCCATGTACCCACAAAAAAAAGGCTGTGCTGACCGCTTCATCCCCTGAAACGCAGGGTGTAAAATGGCACCTCAGCCTCCTCACCTCCTTCCAGCGCCTCCAGCCCAAGGCCTGCTGCAGATTCTGTCCAGCCCCGCAGCACAACACATTGCTGCTCAGCGTGGCACTCTTCAGCAGTTATTTATACCAAGAATCAGGCTGAATTCAGCCGTGTGAGCCCACAGGGACCAGAGACAGAGCATGTCTCCCCACAGTGACTCCCTGAAGAAACAGGGCCCACACCCAGCACCCACTCCCCAGTCTCCCCTGGCTGCAGGCCCAGGCAGGGTACCCTGCCCTTCTCAGCCTAGGAGAGTAGAAAAACCTCATCTCCACCAGCTTTAGTCACTGACTGCGCGCTAAGGCAGCTTCATGGGCAGCATCCAGCGACCACCAACACACAACGGTCCCTCACCCGCTTATGAAAGGGCCAGGGTCTCTGCCTGCTCCTTTAAATGCTCCCCAGGAGGCTCCTCCCTCCCTCGCCGCTGGCCCCGCCCCACTGCCGCGCTCTTCTTCCGGCTTTGGCTCCGCCCCTTCCGGCTCCAGTGCTTTAAGGCCCCTGAGGCGCAGTGGCGGGAGTGTTGGCGGTGAGAGGGGCTGGGGGGTGGCGGCTGTGGAGTGGCTGGCGGGCGGCGGCTGTGGCGGGGCCTGGATGGGGGCTTACTGGGCTGGAGCCCCTCTGTGGGAGGGGGCTGAGGTGCTGAGTTGGGGCCTGGCGCTTGCCAGACAGGGCCTTTCCCCTCAGCCCTCCTGGCAGGGAAGTTGCTGAGGCTGGGCCTGGCGCGGAGAGCTGCGGAGTCCCGGGGGGGCGGACGGACGGACACGCGGGAGGCTCTCAATCTGTTTGAACTTTCTCTTTTATTCTCCTTTTCGCCGTGAGACGCCGAGCCTATCTGTCTGGCTTCTGCCTTCGGCTAGCTCCCTTGTGCTTTGTGGGTGTTCCTTATTTTGTACACGTTTGCATCTTGGTGGCCTGGTCACTGTGTGGTTGGTGGTGGTTAGCCCTGTTTTACAGAAGGAAGGCCTCTCACACTGACTCCCATCTCCAGCCCTGTGGATCACACAGCTGAGTCAAGGATGGTAAAAGCAATCCTGAGCATTGCTGCTTGAAGCATTTAATCCTATGGATGTGACTGTATCCCAAAAGTTTTCTTTTGAGGTGTTGCAACATCAAAGCAAGTGTCATTTAGTCTTAGAAAATGGATAGATGAAGAATTCAACAGGTGTCAGTTGTGCTTAACTGTGCCTGGCTGGGTGGAAGTGAAAAAGGTCATTAGTCTTTGTTGCTTTTATTATTGGTTCAAGTCTTCTAATATTTAGCTATCTGTTTTGCTCATGACTATGGCAAGAGTGGTACAGAAAGCTCTCCTTAATTAAAGCAAATAAGATAATGGAGTATAATTACAGGAAAGAACTAACTGAAAAGTGATTACACTTACTGTAGGTCAGACAACTCTTTGATAAGTCATTAATGCTTTGAGAAGCTTATTACTTTTCTTAGGTTTCGTCAGCTCAGCTAATAATGAGATACATAGAAGCAGATGACTTTCTGAACAAAAGTTACAGGCTGCTCCCTATTTGGGCTAACTCTCATCATAGAGACCTGATTAACAGGTCTCCAGCAAAAACAGCTGCTGGTCTATGAATTAAATTCATAATAACTTCCACAGCTACACATTTTGGTGTTGTGTATGTGACAATTGGTATGATTCAAAGGAATTTTGTGGACTTTGTGAGGTAGGGTCTAATCCTCACACTATTATGTCCATTTTTACCGCCATCCTGAAGTAACTTTCCCTGGTAATGGGGACATGTTCATATCCCTTCTTATACTGTAAAACAAGGCTGAGGTAGTGCAATATATGGAGTTTTGAACTGCTTGTATCTACAGTGTTTTTCCAACAAAATGACCTGATTAAGCTGTTAGTCTGAAATAGAAATCATAATTTTGGTTTTGATCAGAAACTGGTTATGTTTTTTTGTTAAAATAACATGTCTGCTTGCTTGTTGCCAGGCACTGGATGACCATAACTAAACAATGTCTGTACCCCGTGGAGCTGTCCATGCAAAATGGATAGTAGGGAAAATAGGAACCAAAATGCAGAAAACTGCCAAAGTGAGAGTGACAAGGCTTGTGCTAGATCCTTACTTACTAAAGGTAAAAGCTGGTTAACAACTTGTCTTGCATGGTAATTTTTGTACTGTGTGGAGCAATGTTTTATGGATTTGACTCTTAGCATTTTTGATAGCTCTTCACAATGCAGGCTCCTTAAGGAACTTGCATAATGATTTAGCTGTGGGGATGACTGCAAAAGATGAAAAGCAGAGTGTTGTGAGGACACTTCCTTTCAAATTACCTGCTAAAGGTATTTCTTTGAAGTGCTTTGTTAATGCACTTCCTTTGAGAGGGTATGTTTTGGTTGTTCCACAGACTTATTTTTCCATATTGATTTGGAGTATGCATTGTTTTGCAAACTTTATATTAGTCAGCTTTACAATAAATTTTGTAGCAGTTTTTCTGTATGCATAATTGTAAGCATATTTAGTATTTGAATCTGTACTGTGTGCTAGATGAGCTTTGTATTTATCACTTCTTGTCAATGTGTTTCAAACAGGGAGGTTAAAATTAGTATTTTATCCATTTTTAGATAGGGAAGCCATGGTACATGTAGGTAGAACAACGTGCCTTTGACCAGAAGGTTAAGGATTGAGTCAGGATTAGATAATGGGTCTTGCAGATCCCAGTCCAATACTTTACACAGTAGAAGAACCTGTTAATTTCTTTCTTAAAAGAAAGATTCTGAATTCTGCTGTTCCAATAAGAATATTGAATTTTATATGAAAGAAAATTAATTGAGCAAGAAAACTTTCAAATGACAAAGTTCAAAGTAGTGATTTTGGGGCTGATGAACTTTAGACATATTAGAATAAATAAGAATTAATATCAGTTCTTGAAGTGTGAATTGCACAGGAAAGTCATTCAGGTTGAAAGAGCCAAGGCAGCTTGCTGAAGCAGTGTTGATGTGAAGCATCCTAAGGAGAGGAAAGGCTAACAGCAGAACTAGAGAGTAGAGAGGCCAGTGGAAAGTGGTGATACTGGGAAAGGGAATCTATGTTAAGTGAAGAGCTTGTTATTTTTACCTGTATCCACATGTTCACTATGAACAGCTCTTTGTACTTGGCTTTTTCTTCCCCATCTCCTTTTTTACAGGCTTGGCTGGCAATGACCTGACCAGAGAGGTTGTCAGGGAAGGGTAGTGCTGTGCTTTCTTTGGGAAAAACAGTAGACTGCACAGTTGCATTTCTCTTCATGACCCAAACTGAATCTAATTTTAAAAAATATAAGACTCTTGTGAAATTTAGTTTGTTTTATATTAACTATATATTTGCAAATTCCTTAATTTTGAAATCTAATGCCAAGGTTTTGTTTTTTCCTTCTACAGTTCTTTAACAAACGAAAAACCTATTTTGCCCATGATCCATTGCAACAGTGTGTTGTTGGAGACATTGTTCTTCTGAAAGCTTTGCCTGAGCGAAGGAGCAAACATGTGAAACATGAACTGGCTGAAATTGTTTTCAAGGTTGGAAATGTCATAGATCCAATAACAGGAAAGCCCTGTGCGGGAACCAGATTTCTTGAAAATCTGTCCGATTCAGAAAATCTGACAGAAGCAGATACTACCTATCTAAGTGAAAAACTTCAGGAACTTAAAGTTTGTTCAACAGACAAATAGCGGGGAAAACATTTAAACAGAGCTTTTCAGCTTGTCTCTGTCAGGGATGTTTGGGGCTCTGCTGTTGTATGTTAAATGTTTCAGTGAAAATTGTAGTCAAAATAAATAGTAAACATAGTTGCTTATAAGAACAGATGTTACAGGTTGATAGGCACCTCAGATCTTTAAATGGAAATACAGAGAAAATGTGAGTTTAGTGTTAACACTTCATTTTGTTGTATGTAGTTTTCCCCCAAGCCTTGACAGTTTCTCACTTGGAATGACTCTTCTGTGTTGAGAAAGACAAGAATATAACTCTGTAATGTTTAAGATTGGTGGGAGGGTCATATTTGATTGTTCTGTATTTCAGACAGTCTTTTGTGGTTTGTAGGATAACTTAAGATAATAAACCTTTTGAAAGGAAGTGTAGGATTTCAAAACCAGCTACCTCTATGTGTCCTTATTTCCTATTACAGTTGCTCATACCACAATAGAACTTTGGGTAGCTTGGCATGATTGCCTTTGTAACCTGTCCAAAGGAAGTATTGAGTTCTGGGAGAGATGGATTGCTTTGAACTGCCAGCAGGAAATAGAAGCTGATGGGAATACAAAGCCAAAAAGGTTGAAGTCAATATGGTTAGATTTAGTCTCATCAGAAAAGCTAATTAAAACAACACATTCTGGGAGAGATACAGGTACTAATTTGCTGCATACTTTAATATGAAACTAGAAGGGCATAGCAGTTAATGATTAAAGATCACTTTATCCTGCTATGGCTCTGGGGATTTTGTGTCCTGTCTTCCAGGACGTAAAGCAGACTAAGAGTGTGCAGCTGTTACAGCAGCCTTGTGTTGATGACTTTTTCCATTCAGATCTAAAGGGTCATCTGCCTCAAAACCCAGCATTTGTGGGGACGGTGTTCCATGTCCCTGTGTGGAGGGGGGAGTGGTATATTAAAGCTATGAGGAATCCTTTTTGAAGTGTCTACTGATGTCATTGGTCTTTGTTCAAGATCAGGGGTTAAACAAGGTGTATCTGAACAGAGTTCCTCTGACCTAAAATATCTTTAAGAAACAGAGATAGCTTACACTAGTAACTTAGCAGTTGTGTTTTCTTCCATTGTCAGAGTGGTATACATTATTTGCCCTTTAACTTCCCTCACTTGCACAAAATCAGTTTCAGCTGCTGGCAAAATGCTAACAAAGTCCAATTGAACTCCGCAAATTTGGGCCAGGAAGAATGAGAAACTTAAATTTTCTTCAGTGTTTCAAACCAAAAAGTACTGCTCTTTGAATGCTAGTCCTCAAGTACTGTCCTGCATGTCAGATCAATAAGCTGGGATGTCAAGACACTTTGATTCAAATGTCTGTGTAAATCAATAACATGAACATAGTCTCTGGCTTTGAGGAAGTGGCTTAAACATATGGCTGTAGGTTATTCTTCTGGATGTGTGTGTTGAAGTGGATAGGTTTATGTAAATTACTTAGTAATTGTAGCTGGCTAAGGCAATCATGGAAGTGGAAGGAAACCTGGGCTCTGACTCCTGCTTGAGCGAATGTAAAATGTGAAACTTCATCCCCAGCAGAGATTGAGGGGAATCAGACCCAGGCTAGAACATGGCCCTCGGCTGTAGGAAGTACACTTAAGTTGTATCCAAGCAGGCAGTAAAGGAACTTGGCCCTCAGTACTTGGGATATGAGAGTTCTAATAACTAGACATAATATTTATAAGAAACAAAGTTTCCTGTTTGGTTAATGAGTTGCATCTACATCTAATTGGGGAAGTGAGTCTTCTTTCCCTGTATTTCCTGTGATTTTTCTTGAGTAGCTGTGAAAATCTCATATTTTTTCTAAGATTGATTCATCATAGAAGGTTTTTGGTTTATCAGTTTACAGGTAGGCTCTCAGAGGGTTGCTGAAGAACTCAGCATGCTGTCAGATCAAAATGTGATTAAATGTGTGTAGTCTGAAGTGTAACTTGTTTTTCAAAGAACGATAGCAATTCTAGGTTGAACTCTTTTTTAAAGAGGTACCACATTGTACTTTACTGATGTTAAAGCATGTTGCATGTGCTAGCCTCTGACTTGCTTTCACAGAGTGCTGATACAAAAATCATAAAATGGCAATGGAAACTGCACAGCAACGATGGAAACATTGTATGTGCTATGTAGAAAGATGGGGTTTGCTCATTAACTTGTTTTCTGTTTATTGGCTAGTTGCTTTTAGAACTGTTAACTATTAGCCTAATTATAAGTCTGTTCTTAATTTGAAGTCATTTGAGGATTTGATGCTAGCACATGCCATCAGTTTAACCAAATTAAATACTACTGTAGCTGAACAGAGCGTGAAGAAAACATTTCAACTACATGTGGGTGAAAAACGTACTTGGAGAATAAGAAACAAGTGTCTTGTACATGAATCAAAAAAATGCCTCCGCTCTTTTTTAGTGTTTTTCAGGCGAGACCCTAAAGCAGGGCTGGGCTCACCGGAACACCGGAGCAGGAAGGGGGGGGGGGGAGTGGCAGTTTGCGCATGCGCACATGCGGCTTCCCGCTCATGGGGGGCGTGGCCGGAGGACCACCACCCTTTTCTCTTCCTCACCCGCCGGCGGCCTTGCGCCCCTCGCGTCCGGCG